CCCAAATGGCTTGAGAACCCCTGCCATAAACAATAGGATGAAACCTTTATGTGGCTGTTTCTCTACAACCAATTAATTTTTGGAGTCAGTGCGAGTCAACACGGCCTTTTGACATCAACCAACACAAAAATGTCTTTAACCTTTTTAGCTATATTGAGCTTAAATGTGGTGTGGTAGTAGCTGAGCCTTATATCAATTACATCCCCCGTATTGCAAACCCTAACCAGAACTATTAAGACTATTAGGCCTACTTGCTCTATTTTTGTCTTATTTGGTATTTATTTATGTATGTTTTTTTAATAAAATTTTGCTACATTTAGTTTATGGCTAGTGTTTTGCTAATTGCAGCTTTTAGCTACAGTGTGGCTAATTTTAGCAACACACCAAATTTGTTGCTTTTGATTTTTCTCATTTTAATTGTTGCAACAGTTTTCCCACAATTAACAACTGTTCGGTTTAACTGTGCTCATTTTAGCCAATAACAACAACTTTGCTACTGTTTTAAACAGGTCGTGTTTTACTAATCAGTTCTGCTGATCTTAGCAGTTAATCTATTTTGCTGCTTTCAGCTATGATTTTGCTCATTTAATCTTGTTGCAATTTTTTTGCCACAATTAAAACCGGTTCAGCTCATTTTAGCTCATAGCAGCAGTTTTTTTCTAATTATAGCTTTACAATTTTGCTAATTTTAGCTTTTTCTATTTACAACTGTTTTGCTAATTTTAGCTCCTGCCATTGTTTTATCTTTAACCAGTCATTTAACAGATTTTTTTGTTCTGTTTTGTTTCAGTGCTCTGACTTCAGTGTTTCTCTTGTTGTGACTTGGTGTTTGTGAAACCCACCTGAGGGGCCACAGTCTGACATGCTGAGGTGGAGATGGTGATGCTTTATCTATGATTTAACACTAGTGGGAATCAGTGTGATGTCATCATGTGGTCATGTGACTCCTAAACCAGCCTTAAGAGGATTATTGTCTTGTTCCCTCTGTCATATTTATTGTCTGTTTTACTCTTCAGCTACCATTTGTTTTTTTTTTTCAAGAAGAAGCAGAAATTTGTGGACTGACTGATTTTTTTTTTGCGAGTGATTGGCAGCTTATCAGTAGATGATTGACAGATGAAGCTGAATGTGTGTGCAGTGTTTCTGCTGCTGCTCTGTTGTTTGCAGAGGGTCGACTGCAGGCTGCCAGACTTTACTCCTGCAGCAGCACCACTGCAGGTAGGACAGGTGTGACTCTGACGCTGTTTAAAATCATGATTCACCTTTAGACTGTTGCTGACTGATGATTATTATTTAGGAGAGGATGATGAGTTAAATGACCTCGTTGGTTTTACAGGAAAAGGCTCCTGTGAACTCAGAGTTAAACGTTGTCACGTCTCCCAAGAAGAATGACTTCATGCGACTTCCTGGAGTCTGTCGACGCCTGAAGAGACGCAGAATCACCATCCTGGTAACAAATCTACATCACAAAGATAATCGCTTTGTTGTGTTGCTGTTGTTGCACATATTAATACAACATTTTCATATCTGTTCACCAGAAATTGTCTTGTATTTAACTAAAACAAACGTATGATAGCTTTGAGGTGACCGTGGAGATCAGTGATATCCTCTCCTTCTTCTTCCCTTCCAGTGTAACATGGAGAAGTTCTGCTGGGGATGGGGCTGGTGGAGGAGTCAAAAAATTCCACATGGTCAGATATGTCGCTGCCCTCGAGGTTCCAGGTGTTCACATTTTTTTATTCACAGTCTCTAAAATAAATAAATAAATAAATAAATAAATTCGATTTTCTGGATATAATCTCTGTTTTCATATTTACGTGTATTGTTTAGCCTGTATGTATTTGTAAAAAAAAAATGATTACAATAAAGGGTTTGTGTTCAGAATGTTTTATGTTTTATTCTAGGTGCCTATGAAATGACAGGAAGTTGTTGTTTAAGTATGTCATTTGTTGTATTTGTGTCTGAAATTTATGTAGATGGATTCAGACAATATTTGACCATTTAAAAATAGTCATTTATTAGATTATTAGCAATAAGAGGTTGTGTTTACAGCACAAATGCAGTTTATTGGTTGCAAGCGAAAATAACCGCCACCAGGGGGTGGTGGCGATTCCCTGATGACGTGTTTTCCGCCGACATCTACGTTTCCGGCGGGCCGAAAAAGCCTAAGGAAAGGRCTGTTCTTTTCTTTCAAAATAAATGTTTCAATAACTGGTGAAGTATATTATAAATTAAAAATCCTGAATTTTATTATTTTTTTATGATCACTAAGTTGATCTATCTTCTGCTATTTGACTCTAGCCATGGACCAAGTCTAAAAGGACTGCTAGCTTATTGTGACATGTTGCGGTACTGTTTTTATTTTGAAGAGCTCAAACCGGAAACTTAGTGTTTTCTACTTGATAGAGCTGGAAGTGGTGGTAAGAGTCGGTGGATTTAATCTGCTCTCTGTCCAATAAAGTATTAATTTACTGGACAGTTTGTTTCACACTCCGTTTCAAATCCGTTTCTCTTTTTGATTCCTGTGTTGGATCTAAAATGGCGGTTTATTCAGTGGATTACGGTGAGCGTCCGGAGTTTAGCTAACCTCAGGTAATGTTAGCTCCTCTTTCTGGGTAAACAGGCCGTATTAGTCACACTTGTAACCTCACGGTGTCTTACTTTGTGTTGGTGATGTTCGATGTTTAACTCGGATGTAAACTGAGGTAAGCTACATGTTAGCTGATTAGCTTCTCTGCTAACCTGCTTCCTTTTGTTTTGGGTCTGCTTTTTTATTTATCTGTGAAATCAGCTGATTATTAAAAGTGCAAAGTTCATTATCTGTTTGTGATGATGCTGGAAATGGTTTTCAGATCGGTGTGTTTTACCTGTTGATATGTGGTTATCCATTTTTATACTCATTGTCGTAAATAAATGTTTAAAATAGTGAGAAATATAAAACCCATCATAAAAAGTTGTTAAATCAACACTCCTTCAGTATATTTTATCCATGTTCTTTGGACATGGACTGACTTTGTAACTATTTTCAGTCCAGTCATTGTATCTTGCCATATTTAGTAAACAAGATAACCATTTAAATTAGCCGATAATTAAACTTTTTTTTTAAATGCATCTATATTGGGATTAAACTGTTTTATCTACTGCATAACAACATGGCATGGGACCAGTTTACAATTTGCTACTATATTTGTGTCTCAAAGAAATGGTTCATTTCTTTCCAAAATGAGATAATATAATGTACATATATTAGTATTTTTTTTACATCAACTAACAAAAATATTTGGTCACTGTTACGAGGTGTGACAG